AATTTCAATGCGACATCAAACAGGCGATCTCAGAAATGTAAATTCTTGGGAGAAAAAGAACAGCATGGGCTACAGAAAGAACAAAGAAAAAAGTCCAAATTTTTAACTACTGTTTTAAACATTTAAACATTTTTTAAAAGTTTAAAAACCTTTATATTATAAAGAAACGTGTTTGAGTCTTAAAAATCAAAACACCTTAAAACATTATTGAAAAACACAGGCAATTTTTATTTTTCAAATTATAAAAATACGATCAAGTGAAAAATACAATCTTGTCCATACAAGAGCCGTTCCATCCACTTCAAAGTAATAGTTTGGAGAAAGTAATTTACAGATATTCAGCAATTACTACTTATATGCAGCTTTTATTTGAGATTGTTCTCCACAATGGAAAGGATGATATTTGGGGACTTTTTATTGCTGCTAAAGCTGTGGTTTAAAAAAAAATCTAAAATAATAATCATATCACTTTTGACTAGAATACTATGTTGTATAAATTTTGATCATTCAAAAAGAATGAGTGGTTTAAATATCCATTTGACTCCCTTCTCTCTAAGTCTATCTTGGTAGGTCTACAGGGTCTTACCACACAGATCGGACTCATAGTGATCCTCCTGTTTTCAGCCTCTCATGCCCTGGGTTTACAGATGTGCACCGCCAGGCCCAGTCTCAATCGCCATCTCAGCTTGCTCTAGGGGCAGCTCATCTGGATAAAATCTTAAAAAAAAAAAAAAAGGGCCGGCCAGATAGCTTAGCAGACTAAGGCACCTGCTTAGGCAGAGCAGTGGCTGGGGTTGGATCCCAGGTTCAACATGAACTTGCTGGCCCCGCCCCCTGGGACACACTGAGAGGATAATTGAGACTAGGTGTGGTGGTGTGCACCTGTAATCCCCAGCACTTTCGAGGCTGAAAACAGGAGGATCACTATGAGTCAGATCTGTGTAGTGAGACCCTGTACTAAATACAAAATCAATCAACCAATCAATCAATCTTACAGCTGGTAGATGCCTCACCATGTGAATTAGTCAGCTTTGTTACTGCAGGAACAACCAGTATGACAACACTCACCATTTCAAAAAGGTGAGGATTATTTTGGCGTATCGTTTCAGTGGGTTCAGTTAATGGTCAGCCAGCTCCAAAGCAGAATGTCATGGCTGAAGTGCCTGGTGAAGAAAAGCTGCTCAGGTCATAGAGGCTGGGACACACAGAAAGAAAGGAAGAGCAAGGGACAAAAATACAGCCTTCTAGGTTGTCTCTAGTGTCTTGCCTTTTCTGACCAGGTCCTACCTACTAACAGCACATTCAGTTACTGACCTCATCACTGACAAACCCACTGATGAATATAGTAGTCCCATGATCCAATCAACATCCAAGTAAGTGAGATTTTGGGGTCATATTTTAGATCTGAGTCATACCACCAGTTATGTTTTCTTTCAGTTGCTACGTGGTGACTACTAGTGCTTCTGGAGTGGCAGCTTCACTAGCATGGGCCCCGGAGTGAATAAACATGACACAGAGCATGGCCTACAGGTGTTCTGCAGGACAAGCAGCATGGGCAAGATAAGGATTTCCATTGCTTTGGGGTTGCTTGTTACACCATATAATCCAACTTGACTGACATCCTAAAAAGCAGAATGAGGTCAGTTTGTTTTAAGAAGTACGTGAGGACAAAAAAGAAGATGTGTAGGGGCCGGGGAGATGGCTCAGTAGATAAGTGCTTGACTGGCAAACGCAAGGATCTGAGTTCAATCCCCGGTTCTGCCAAAAAAAAAAAAAAAAAAAAAAAAAAAAAAAAAAAAAAGATGTGTGGCCCGTGAGGAGGTGGAAGAGGAGGCAGTCGGAGGATTGTCCTGCTGCGGCATGTGGGGACAGGCTTTAGTGTTGTTTTCCAGATCCCAGGATCTGGAGGTGAAGTGTTATCTACAAACATGGATTAATTTCCATGCTAAGTGAAAATGGCCAATTCATTAAGAGGAGAAGTATTGAACTTTTATAAAAATCTGCTCTATCTTGGACGGGACTATCCAAAGGGAGCAGACTATTTTAAAAGGTGTTTTAAGAATGTTTTCCTTAAAAATAAAGATATGAAGGACTCAGAGAAGATCAAACAACTTATTGAATGAGGTGATTTTTTTTTTTTTTTTAAGAACTGGGGATTGAACTCAGGCCCTTGTGCTTGCCAGGGAAGTGCTTATTCTACTGAGCCATCTCCCCAGCCCCTAAAGAAACTTTTTTTTTTTTTTTTTTTTGGTGGTACCGGGGATTGAACTCAGGGCCTTGAGCTTACCAGGCAAGCACTTATTCTACTAAGCTATCTCCCCAGCCTGAATGAGGCAAATTTGCAGTGAAAGAGCTAGCAGATTTATATTTTCTCAGGAAATACCGAGCTATGAAACAACGCTATTATTCGGATGTCATAATTGATCATTATTTTTATAGACTGGCTGAAAATCAGAGACAGCTATTTGTATATACAAAACATTGTGAAATAAACATCTGAAAAATGGCAAAAAAAAAAAAAAAAGATGTGCATGTGGGTTATCTTTTAGGTAGGCAATCGTTCAAGAGTCAATATATTGCTAGATAACTGAGTGATCACCAGAACATGAACTGGATGGAGAGGGGTCTGGTTTCTGAACCTGAACCAATCTTTCCTCTTAGGAGGCTCCAGGTCTCCTTTTCCGGGCTTTAGCAAACCCACCTGCATTATTTATGGGTCTAAGACAGAAACTGGGTCTCACATGCTGTTACTGCCAGAACCAGCCCTTCAGCACTTACTGTACCAGCACAGGGTTGGCCTACGGCTTGTCCTGAGTGCTGAGAGGCTCTGGTCCCCTTGTTGGGGCCCTTATTCCCATGTGTGTGCTCTTACCAGATGAAATCCATGGTGCGTTGTTGAGAAAAAAGCAACATGATGACTTCAGAGTAGACAGATTTTTTTTTTTTTTTTTGGTACTGAGGATTGAACTCAGGACCTTGCACTTCCCAGGCAGACACTCATGCCGCTGAGCTATATCCCCAAGTCCTCGACAGATTTTTTTAAGTAATCGTGGAACATTTACAAAATTGACCTCACACTGGGCCAACAATTAAGCTTCAATACATCTAGAAGGATGGAAATCACATGGGTCATTTTCTCTGACCACAAAACAATTCATCTAGAAAAATAATGAAAACTTAGAAAGTCCTCCCATATTTGGAAAGTAGCAAACACACATTTGAATAACTCATGGGTTATATGCCCTCTCATTTAATCCTCCCTACTATTCATCAGGTAAACCTGCATTTTAGAAATTCAGCAGTTGAGATTTTAAAAAAGTATCATTTGTTCAAATTTACCCAGTTGGCAGTGTGGAACCAGGACTCCAAAGCAGACTAACTCTGGAACCGAGGGTTGTACCGATATCCTCCTGACCCTGTGTCTCCCTGGAAATCATAGAGCACCCTGCTTGTTTTGGGGCCCCTTGAACTATCATGCAGAAGCACATTTCCTTTTGTTCTAGCCTCTTCTTGGGCCCTTCTTTAGATTAAAGTTAGAAGTTTTGGGGTCTCAGATGGACATTCCCATCCAGTTTTGAATTACTTCTCTAGGAAGACTTCTTTGCCTTTTAAAGATTTTTTTTTCCCCCACAGAGTGGTTAGTGAACAAAGAAAGACAGAAGGAAAAGTCACTTCCAGATGGCTCCCCATCTTGCTCTAATGCAGATTAAATAGAGAAAATATTCTAACATATCATTAGGCAAACATGAGTATCAGTATCACTTACATTATAAATGGAATAGAATGCAGATCTGGTATCCTGACTTAAATTAGGGCCAAAACCCTTGGAGCAAAATAACAGACAACAAAAGACCCTGACTCTGAGTAAGTTGGAGGTTCATGGCATCTGAGATAGGAGGCAAGGCCCAGCTGACTCTAGATCTCTCTAGGTCTCTAGGAATGGCCTCCTGAATATACTCTGACCAAACCACCTCCCTCTTGTGGCCAGGGCCTGTGTGATTGGCTACTGAACACCATTATTCTACCAGTCAACCTACTCATCTCAACCTACTCATAGGATACATTGTTGGCAAAATCCCAAAGATGCCCAGAGCTTGAGGCTGTTCAGCAACTTTGGACTCATGTTAAGAGAACAATACTGTCTGCCCCCTGTGGGCTCATGTCACTCAGTACCAAGTGCCGTGGAAACACTTGCAGTAGAAACACTTGAAAATAAATGGCAAATGTGATGACGGTCCATATCCTAGAAAGTTACTTAAAGTGCTCATACTTCAGCAAGTGGCCCTGCAAGGAAGAAGGCTGAGGGGCAGGAAGAGAGTGCCAGGCCAGGTGAGGGGCCCAAAGATTTGCACTTTGTCCCTTGGCTTCTTACTTCTTCTGCTAACGAAGCAGCCCTGGCCCACTGTGAGGGAGTAGGCCCACTAGCTCCCCAGGTTGTCTCCACCCAGACTTCAGGGGCTCAGCTTGGAGCCTGGGGCCCTTCCAGCCCTAGCCCACTGTTTGCTCCCCACAGCATCAGGGACTAGGCCCCAGAGAGTTAGTTTGCCAATTAGCCAGTGATCAGTCCCAATATGAGTTTCACATCAAGTCCAAGATTAAAGTACCCAGTCATCCAATCAGCAATGTGATTATATCCTCTCAATCTGTGCAAAATGGTCATGCTGACCACTTCCTGATAGGGTATGGGTGCTCCTGGGCAGCCCTTAAATGGCAACTCAGCTTGTGTGATCTTTTAGAAATGGCTGGTTGTGCCTATAGACTGGACAGGTGGTGCGGGGCCCCCGGAGTGAGAGATGGTCCGATGCCTTCAATGAGGTTGTTCCACTGGTCATAGTCCTCTTGCAGGTCTGAGTGGAGAAAAAAAGGAATTAGGCAGGTTCTTGTAAGATTTACTTCATGATGCTGCAAGGAAAGCCAACATTTTGGCCCTAGCATTCTAAGGTCAATTAAGACTCAGGACATATGAGAACTTGTACTATAACGTCATGTAACTCGGTAGTATCCCAAATTTTCTGATCAAGGAGATTACGGGGCCAAAAAGGAAAGTGATCGATGATGTGGAGTATGCCTAAGGAGAGTCACATGAAGAGAAAACATTCTCTCAGGCTTTCACAGAGAGCACATTGGCCAAGCAATGGCTGTGACTCATCCACATGGCTGACACTGACAAAGGTTCTACAATCTGAGGTACAGGATCTCAGGATAAATCCTGAGGGGATTTCACTGATCTTATCAGACCCAAAAGCTACAACTCTTGTTGCATAGGTACTGCTATACCTTGGTCTTAACCATCCAGAAGAAAAGTATAAAAACAAAATATAAGAAATAAAGCCAAGCAGGGCCGGGGAGATGGCTCAGTAGGATAAGCGCTTGACTGGCAAACACAAGGATCTCAGTTCAATCCCCGGTTCCGCAAAAAAAAAAAAAAAAAAAAAAAAAAAAAATAAAGCCATGCTGTTATGTTGAGCTGTGGGGGACTCAGGTCAACAATTTCTGATATTGCCAGTGAAGCGGAAGACCCAATACTATTATGGGCTATGAGACTCTTTTAGAATATTTTGCTGAGTTTACACACCTGTAATATTCAAATAATGGAACTTAACAAAAAAAGGGTATACAAATGAATGTCCATTTTGTATCTGTGTACTCAAAGTGGTTAGGATAGATAGTTACATTCTCTTAATGAATAGAATGATTTGTTCTAATGGTGTTTGTAAATAGGATATCAAGTCCTCATCTTGTACAGCAATTAACACTAAGAATGTATGCAGTGTGTTAATTATTGAAACTGTCCTACCGATTTGATTTGAAACTGTCTCATTGCTATTTGTTTATCAATAAAATTATGGCAGGGCCGGGGAGATGGCTCAGTAGGATAAGCACTTGACTGGCAAACACAAGGATCTGAGTTCAATCCCCAGTTCCGGGGGGAAAAAAAAAAAAAAAGATTCACTTCATGAGCTGGTATCACAAATTCAGCGGGTGTCCTTGCGAGAGAAGCACTGTCTTTTTTTGTGGTACTGGGGATCAAACTTAGGACCTTGCACTTGCCAGACAGGCACCTATGCCACTTAGCTATATCCCTAGCCTCTAAGAGAGAAACACTACGGAATACCAAAAGGACTGCTTAGGGCAGTTGTAATGGTGGTGGCAATGCCTTTAAAAACAATTTACACAGTCCATGGCAACTTTTTTTTTTTTTTTTTGCGGAACCAGGGATTGAACTCAGACCCTTGCACTTGCTAGGGAAGCATTTATTCCACTGAGCCATCTCCCCGGCCCCAGTCCATGGCAACTTGATAATAGCACCAAAGGTGGCACTTCATGAAGGAAAATTCACTCTAGAGACTGTGCCAAATGTTTTATGTGTACTCATGCAAATCTCACAATATCCCCATAGGCTAAGGACTATTGCTTGACCAACTTTTTTTAAAAAAAAAATATTTGTTTGGTCTTTTTTAAATTTTTATTTATTTATGTGTGTGTGTGGCCAGCTCAGCCCACCAGGGGGCGGGGCCGGCTGGCATGTGGTGCTGGGGGATTGAACCGCGGCCCCTGTGCTTTGCTAAGCTTGTTCTAAGTACGTGCTTTAGAACACTGAGCCATCTTACCAGCCCCTGTTTGGTCTTTTTTTTTTTTTTTTTTTTTTTGGCGGAACCAGGGATTGAACTGAGATCCTTGCATTTGCCAGTCAAGCGCTTATCCTACTGAGCCATCTCCCCGGCCCCTGTTTGGTCTTTTTGAAATGGTCTCCCTATGCAGTTCAGGCTGGCCTTGAACTCATTTTGTAGCCCAGCGTGGCCTTGAACTTGCAATAATCTTCTTGCCTCAGTGGGGACTATAGGCCAAGTGCTGGGACTATAGGCCTGTGCCACCATGCCCCACTTGACCCCTACTTTGTAGCTGAGGAAATTCAAGGCTAAAGAAAGTGATCTGATTTGCCCAAGGTCATGACAGCTGTTAAGTGGTAGGGACAGAGTTTAAATCCAGGTCAGAAACAGAAAATGAAAGCTACTTCCAGGCTCAGGAATATTAGTAAGCAAGAAGAGGTTCCCAGTCCCCCAGCCAGGAGGTACAAGGCCAGTGTCACCCTAGAGAAGAACAACAGGGCAGCAATATCACAGAGCAGGCCAACACCAGGCATGATTCAAGAGGGCCCTGAGACTGTGGGTAGAGAGGTCCAATTATACAGCAAGAAGAGTCAGAAAGAGGCTAAACCATCAGGCCACAGGAGGGCGTGCAGCTGAGCAGACAAACGATTTAGGATACACAGAACCTGGGACAGTGTTAGGGACCGCTTACATTTATCTTTGGATCGCCACTGCACTACCAAGAACCTGACAGGGAATAGGTCCTCAATACATAATGCTACTTATTTACTAACTCAAGCTGGAGCAGTGACAGTCACTGCTACTTGGACTTAGGGGTTCAAGGTCAACCCGAGCAATAAAGACTTTTTTTTTTTTTTTGTTAATTTTATTTATTGGGCTGGTGAGATGGCTCAGTGGTCTAAAGCACCTACTTAGAACAAACTTAACAAAGCACAGGGATCACGGTTCAATCCCCCAGCACCACATGCCAGCCATCCCTGCCCCCTGGTGGGCTGAGCTGGCCACACACACA